GGTCCAGCGACTATCGCGGTATAGAAGCCGGTCTATTATCATCTACGAGGAAGATCGTTAAATCATTGTCGCGACAATGGCAATTGCGCTGCTCGCGGTTCATTAACACTAATATATCGCCCGTTATATCATTACAATGTCGGTGACATAACGATTGGAGTAACTAATGTCGCGGCTCGAACTTTGAACTTTGAAAGTAGAAATCGTTAGACACAAATCCTCTCCCAACGCACATAAAGCGATCTTCATTGCGGAAAATTTTCCAGAGAAGAGTTAAAGTATGCACGATTATTAAGGAAAGATGATTATTACGTATGTCCATGTCATTAGCGACATCTTAGGTAATGAAGGCGTCCGCGCTGGGTAATGAGCAATCGCTGGGTATATATCCTGTAAGGATCAGGATGCATTCTCTCTGATCATAATGGCCAGCAGTGTAACAGTATACATATATGTGTATGATTAATGAACATGTACCCGCAATTCATGAACCACGATATTATGAACATGTTTTAATCGTGGGCGTATATAATTTGAATAATTAAATTGTTTATAAGTATGTTAAATATTTATATATATCAACAAATTTATTTTCAAAAATAAAACATTGATAACTCGAATTGTAAGCTCTCGATATGTTCTACCTGGTTAATTCATTTTGTCTGTCCAAATTGCAAATTAAAAAAAATTCTTCCTTTTTTTTTTTTTAATTAATTTCATTTATTGTTAAGAAAAATATTAAGAGAGTCCGTAAAGCATTTTCTCTTGATCACTTACAAAGAGTTATTTTCTTCCGCGAGAATCGTGGAATGTAGACTAGAAGGAACAGCCCATGCTCGCACAGGAATGTGAATCGAAATACCTAACAATTCGATTTCAACGCAGACAATACGAGCTGTCTTAGAGTACAAAGCGAGATTGGATAGATTCGTCTTCACGTTTGAACGCCATAATTGCAACGTCCCGATTAGAGTCATTTTGTCCGTGAAATATTGCGAGCACGAATGTATTGTTTTTCGTTTTTCCTACAGAATTCCGAGAGAATTTCTTATTTGTTTAGAAATATAGTAGCATTCTTGACGTTATTTTTTTATAGAGATTGATATTTAGTATTTAAATAAGAAATAATATTTTAAATACATCGTATTTTCGGATTATTTTGTGATAATTATGGAGTAAATAATTTCGATAAAGCAAAACTTTATATAATATCTAAATAATTCGCTGTTTGAAATAGCTATTTGTTTAATTAACCGTTTTAAATAAAATGGTAATTGATACTTTCTTTTTCAGATTTAAAAAAAATGTATAAAAATGCTAGATAATTTTTATTTAAATAAAAGGCTTATTTTAATCGTTACTACATCAAAGTAATTTTTTAAGCTTGTAATATAACTAACGAGCAAATTATGATCTGCGCAAAGTTGAAAGTATCTCGGTACACTCAGCGTTTCACATTGGCTGATACTACTTACAGATTGTAGTTATTCTTTTCATTTTCTTATTATGTGGAATTCGTCGCGCGTTTGCGATAGTAATTTGTTACCGTTCTGTGGAGAGTCGCGATGCGAAGGGTATTAAAGTTATCCTCGCAGCTCGCCCGATGCGAATCAAAGAGATTCACTGCTACGGTGCTGCTTCTTTTTTGCTCCATTTTTCCGTCAACTCCTTGCAATCGCCTTCGGTTCCTTTGAACCGCGCGTAAGATGGTACCGGAAAGTAAAATATTTCCGTCGTCGGGTTGACTGAATGAGGCTGTCGCTCGTTTGACGGAATCGACGCCAGCGTTCTCTCACCCCCGGCATCCTTTTTCGATTTTCCTTTTCCTCCGTCGAGTACTCTAATCAGGACGCCGCTGCTCTCCTAGTGAATTTTGCATTTTCGCCGTTGGAAATAGCAGAACTCCGCCGAGGAAAGAACTCGGGCGAAAGGAAATCAACCCCGCCCCTATACCGTGAAATAACTGACGACGTAAGCTACTTCCTCCGGTTTACTAGACTCACAATGGAAATCTGAGACTAAGGAAACCTGATGTTTATCACCTTTAGAACGCGAAAGCTTATTAAACGTTCTTCTCAAGTTCTTTATGTCCTCCGATCCTCGCGTTCACATTTCATTGTGTGAACAACGGATTTTACAAACTAAGAAGCCCGGACGTTAACATGAATCTCACATGAATTCTATGTAGATGCGCGATCTCCCTTACTCGCTATTGCATAAATACAAATGAACATCGTTCTCACAAAACATCTATATTATAGTTTTGAGTCTGTAAATTTATTCTCTATTGACGATTTATTTATAAATGTTTGCACGGCAAATCATATCTTAGGAAAGAAAAATTTTGCAAACGATGTTTATATTTTAACTTTAGAGTATTAATAATGCTAAAAACAAAATTAATGTTATAATTATTATGTGTAAATGCTGATGTGTTATTTTATATTTATATATTGTATATATGACACACATTTGTATTTACTGCGCTTGTATCTGTTTTTATGTCCTGATAGCGCTATATTTTGTGTTCAAATATTTTGCAAGCACGCTTGAATTACGAAATTTGTTACAGTGAATAATAATGTGCATCAGATACGTTCGCGCGAGTATATATATGTATGCTAATTAAAGCCGCGTTGAATGATCCCGAGTTTATCGGAATATTTCGCGACATTGAAATAGCGATATTGAAATTCGTGATTTTTAACGAATGTTCGAAGCTCGGCGATGCAGCACATGAGTGAATTCTAATTGAAATTCTTACTCTGACAAGAGAGAGAGATAGGGGGAAAGGGAACGGACAGCTCTCTTGAGGTATGCGATGGCTTTTAAATTGTGTCCTCTGTGCACCATCGTTGAAAGCCCTTTGATCGGCGATGTCAAAGCTGACGTACGCTACCGTAAATTATTATCTAGCCGTCAATATTTCATACGAGATTTGTAAAGATCTTCGAGAAATCCATCGAGTAAATTCTGATTGCCAATCACGTTCTGTTTCCTACAAATCTAAAAACTGTGGTAGCCTGCCTAATTTCCGTATCCTAGTGAAATTCAACAATGTGCTGTATAATTTTAATAATTATATAAAAATCGAGGTTTCTTGCAAACACATCTATATTGTTACATACATATACATACATATTCAAGCTGCAAATAAAGCGTGATTGTGTTCTAATGTACGCACGAGAAAATATTATTTCCGTTGTCTTTCACACTTTACTTTGGGAAATCCTTGCGCGTTTCGCGTTTGTCTACGGCAACGGATTTATTGACTTTTTCACAACTGTTCTTTTGTTTGAAGCGTGAACTCGCAACCGCGGATATTTATTTTTCGTTTTCCCGCGAGCCTTTTCGAAAATAAAGGAGGAACTCAATGATAGGCGATGAGCGAGGCTCTATCTCACTCTATATAGGGAATAAGGGGAATGCTTTCAGAAACGAAAGAATAAATCGAGTGGCAAATATTGAGAGAGGACGTGCGAGCGGGCGTGAGGGAGAGGATGCGCAGTGTCGCGGGGTGTAAGTGTTCGCGAGCCGCAAATATTAGAGAAGAGGAAGAGTTGCGAGGATTCATGAAACGGGCTGGAGCAGAGAGAATGGAGAAAAAGCGGGAGAACTCTCGTTAACCCAAAAACCTCCGAGAGCTATACAAACCCGCGACCGGAGCTTTCAGCCGCACTCCTTTCTGCAGCTTCGCGCTTATTAAGAGAAATTTAGAAAGTTTCACTTCTTTTGCGTTAAGTTCAGAACTGTCGCGCTGTAGCCGCAGCATCTGATGCACGTGGGTACAATCGGATGTAACTGCGAATGCGCATTGGCCGCGAGCGAAAGCAATCTTCCGCGCTACGCCTTGATGAAAACGCGAATCCAAAGTGGAAACCGGAATAACTGTTCGTTTCAATGTGATTAAATTTAACGGGATTTTATCAGCCGCTTTGACTCGCTGTTATTAATACAAAAAAGTATGAATTTAAACATTTAAAAATTTATTTCCACCGATCGCGGTGCACTTTTATAAAATTTAAATGTAAATTTTATTGTAAGAATCTACATTTTACATTTTAATCCTGAAATTGGATCTAATTTTGAAAAAGCACGTCTTTTATCCCATCGAACATTTCATGATTTTTTGAGTTTTACTTATTTTTCTCTTTGTTATTGCAATTACAATGCAACGTGAAATTCAAAGTGCATGGAAATGCACAAACTATCTTAATTAGAGCACCGATCATTAATCCTACGACTTGAAAAAGTGATATTTATTATTTGTTGGTGAAAGCTCGTGAGCTGCAAAACAGCTGCGAGAGGCAAGAAATCCGCAAAAGGAAGGAAAAAAGCGATAAAGGCAGATCTTCTGCGGCGAATGTCGTTTTAATGAGGCTATTATTTCCGAAGTTTGTGTACGTACCTTAGACAAAGTGGTGGGGTGTGGATATAAGTTGACGAGGCAGCTCTGTCGTCTAAGCCGGTAGTCCCAGCGCGTCTCTAAGTGCGGAATCTCCATGGTGTCGCAAATGCTCTGCACGTGAGACGCTGTATGCGCACTTTGCGGTCCAAAAATCGCCGCTACGCCGCCCCGCAGTAAGTGGCATACTGTAATACATAAAAATACCAAGAACGTTATTAACTGCTCGTTATTAACGTTTATAAGACTTTTTCAAATTGGTATTTAGAAGAAATTACTTCGCAAATGGGCAATCAATTTTTTTCAATTGAAGATTTCCTAGTAAAAGAAGCTGTGAATGTTTAATTTATTTTCTCCTTTTTTAAACGTAATTTTAATATATAATTTCTAATTATTTTAAAATTTACTCATTTGAGAAAAATATGAAAAGCACATTCTTTCATTTTAATAAGTAGCGCGCGTTACAAGTTGCTAGTTTTATCAGCAGAAAATGTTGCGGCGAGTAATAACTATATGAAAATATTTGGACTTTATTTGTACAACGAACTATTTCCTTATTTCGGTCTCAGCATAAATATGGAATTGCAAACTGAAATTTGGAGGTAGCTCGGTGGCATGGCTACATGGATCGATTAATTAGGCAGCTTGCTTCTATTATGATAATGTATATGTAGATGCGAGCGTAACACGCTGATACGCGAGCAAGATAAGCATGACGTGAACGCCAAGAGCAGCGTACTGTGATGTTAAGCTGAACGAAACGGAATGACCTGTCCCATCATAATATATCGATCAAGCTAGCGTCAACTAACGTGATTAGGGTCGTTTCGCACATCGACAACATACCGTCCGTATCATGTGGAACCCGTTATCAATTAATCATTGCAACTCACACGAACTTAGTCGCGGAGTGCAACACCGCCGTGCAGCTTGTCGATCTCCCCTACTCACGAGCTCTCCATTCGCTATCGTGATAAACGACTAGGTATCACCGGAACATCTAGGATCTTCCACCAACGCGACGCATAACTCCCGATCAATCTCCTCTATTCGCTCCTAATTTAATTTGGCGAATAAATGTTTTCGTTACTGTCTTTGTTTCGTGCCGCTTTCGTCCCGGCGGAACCACGCTCTTTTTCTTCGTGACGATAAATCACCATGTAGGATCACCATCCGACGTCTTGAGCCTCTTGTCTTCCTCAGAGATCTGCTTGCTCTCATTTGCAACAACAACAAAAAATTACGTTTGCCGTCTTCGCGCAAATCCGCGTTCGCGAGTTTTATCGTTTTCAATTACGCCGTGACCGCCCATTGCGATTGTCTTGCCAATTTCGCGGCTCTCATCATCTGCGTCGGCGACGCGATTCTCGCCAGTTGATCGCGGATAAATCGTAATGAGAATTTTTTGCTTGCTAAGAGGGAATTCTCGATAAACGGGAGTGAGTAAATTTCGAAAGAAAATTGTTTCAGCTCTCTGTCGAGCACTTGACGGAATATTACTTTGGAATTCATTTATATTTTTCATTAATGAAACAAAAAAGATATGTTAATTTTGTTGTTATCATTTCTGGAAATCATCGGATATTGTAGAAATTGCTTGAAAGGTCATTTCGTCTAATGGCGAATATCGCAAGAGTATCCGATGGCGATACTTTTGTTTTTCCTCGTTAAATCGACATTTCTCATGGCTTTTATTTTATTTTTACTCACACCAGTAATTAAATTCTGCGACGTGAGCACAAGCTGTCCTAACGAACTAGCATTAATTTCTCTCGTCTTTCTCGTCTCCGATTTGAACCGCGATAATTTTGCTCTTCTCCGACATGCACGATAAAAAAACACATTTGAAAGAATAACCGACTCATAATCCAGAGCGTCATTGCAATTAATAATTACGTTCTTTTATATTTCCTTGAAAAAAGAAAGTATCTTATTTAACAGAATTTCTTTCTATTAAACTTCTCATATATTTTATTAATTACGCAATAATTAACGAGCAAGTATAAAGCTATACTATCTTTTCTGAATTGAATTTCATAATTATTTATTATATGTATACATTTATAAAAGAGCGAATGAGTGCACAGTTATAATGCTGATTTAATTTTTATAGAATAATGATAATCTATAGAATGTGTACGAGAATCGTTACGTATATATATCGTTTTTTTTCGATAAATTTAGTCAAACTTTTTTAACGGAGTTTTGCAATATTATCGGTTGTATTATTATTATTACTGCCGTGTAATTAGCTTTTTTATTTTCAGCATCAAATAAATTTTTTTAACGATATTTTGTGATAGCAACGTCAGATTATACGATAAATCAGATTATACAATAAATTATTTGTAGAGAAAAAGAAATTATAATCGGAGGACAAAGTTAAAAAATAATGCTCAAATGAAACAACTGATCCGTTAACTTCATTTAAAATTACTTAAATAATAAGCTTTGTTTCTTATTTATAATCGGACTTCAATCACAAAGGTAATATGATGTCTCATTACATCTTCACTAACAAGTTAAAATCAGTTTCAAATCTGACAGAGAATCCGAAACTGAGGGAAACGCCTGTGACTTTCAGCGCAGGCGAATGCGTATTAATTGCATCGCCGACTTTTCTGAAAATTTGATTAAACCACTTTGTAAAAGCGCAACATCGGGTCGCAGCGAAGCGTATAAGCGCGAGCGTGTCGCCACCGGACGAGCGACAGCTTTAATCCGGAGTTACCTTTTGATCATTTATTCCGAGCGAAAACCGTCTAATGTCCCCTGCAGGCTCCGCCCCGGCAAAAGGATCGAGCTAAAGGGTGGGGGGGGGGAAGAAAGGGGTGGTTGCGCGGCCTCCCGCCCTGTGCTTCACCTGTGCGCGTATACCTTACCGCAGTCGGTATCTCTATAATCGGCGAGCAAAGTTGACTTCCGCGGGCGCGGGGAGCCTCAAAGTAATACCCGGACAACGCTGGCGGCGTTTTAAGGTTGAAATATGATATGAGCTATATTGAAATTCCGGATGCAATTTCGTCGAGCGACCCCCGAAGGCGCCTCGCGGGCCATCGTACATATATCGATATGTATTGGGAGCTCTGAATTTTTTCCTCTTCTATTTTTTTTTTCTTCTCATCTGATCGCGGCGTGCCGGAGGTCTTGACGGTTTCTTTTCTGAAGGGGGGCGCGGAATCAATTCGAGCCGTATTGTGGCTCAGGAGTCATACGCGCGCGCTCGTCTTTCGCCGGCTTTGCAACGCAATTGTGAGACGGGATGCAGACGGGAAAGCTCTTTATATATTGTTGATGGTATTATCAGTTCGATGGTGATACGCAAGCGGCGGAGGAGGAGGAATCAACAAATTGCATTTTTTTCTTTTATAGACTGATTTTATATTTAACAATGTTGTGATATGACTTGAGAATGATATAAGCCTATATATATTCATACTTATAACAGAATTCACTTGTGATCGAATATAAATAATTTCGGCAAATAGCGATTGCCGAGGCACGTAGCATTGCATTTGAGCCTATTAAGTGTACATAATTTATTTGAATATGAAAAAATTTTAATCTTTTTAAAGCGAGCTTTTTGTGATTCTGATTTATTTTTAACGATTTTGATTAAAAGGTCTTACATATTATTCAATGAAATTTAATTTTTCTGAAAACAAATGTATAAAATTTATAAAATTTTTTAATTTTTTAATTCAAGTAACGCAAGCCATATGGAACGATGTAATAAATTAAAAGTGAAAAAGCAAATATACATGTTATAATAAATAAAAATGTGTTTTTTATTCTTTCTCATGCAGTTTATTTTTTTTATTTAACATATTTCTCAAATAGTAGATTTAATTTTCTAACCTTGTTTATATTTTGATTCCAAGATTTTTTATAAAATTTTATAAAATTCACAGAAATTTCTATATGAAATCATTTACATTATACAGGATAAATCCGGAAAAATTGCCTACCATGTTTATCTAGTTTCTGCGAATATTGCAAATTTACATATCACTGTAATAGATTTCCTTGAAAATAAAATTGCTCTATTTCAACGTTTTTTTTTTGCACAATTTATTATAGTTAGTTTTATAAAATAAATAGGATGGAAAATTTTCGTTAGTTTATCTTGTGTAACGCTGAAATATAATAGCAAAAATACACATTTTATTAACTGTATATTTTTTATTTTGGTTTTTTTCTCAATTCAGTCTATAATTAACTAAAAATCAGAACGCAGTCAAAAATACTAGAAATGAATATTGTCGAAATTCAATTCTTTTATGATGTTCTCACTTTGTTAGACATTTACATGTCTCGCATACTTTTCATTTTGATCATGGAAACGCAAAATGTTAGATATTATCATTATTGATATGCAGTATTGCACGCAATTGCGACTCGTTCTCTCGACAAAGGAATGAAAAGAGCAATCGATCGTAGTTTAGCGCGTTTGTTTTTTTCACTTCATTCATATACAACATTGGAAATATTGCGTTTTGCAGTAACGTGGAATATTAGATCATTTCCATGCGTTTCGATGTACAATATTGCGTCGCATTGTTATCATTCTTAGCAAGATTGCTCTTTCTTCGCCAACGTTAAGCTCCACCCTTAAGCTTTCACCAGATGACAGTATGTGCATAGATCGCGCTTACTTCTCTGCATTGTAAGCATCTCAGGCAAAACTCTAGCCTGCAAACAGCTGGATGCGTATTATAGGTGCAACAGAGTCGACGTTGGCATCCAGTTGCACCAGTTGTGCCGTTGTGTTCTAGCTTTGCGCATAGATAGGATTATCGCTCGGTAATGTATCAAAGCCAGTTGGCAAGCGACCCCGGCACCGAGAGTAATATCTAATCCCGCGGCACTCTCTCTTCCTCCCCTTCGAGGGGTCCTTCTGCACGAACCTTGATCGACTATGTTCATCGTCGACTGTAATTTCACCCTTTGCCTCAAAACCGCTAACGAGTATTGCGAAGGTGACACTACTTGAATTTTATTTCCTCTTTGTAGATGTAATAAAAGTGGGTAATTCTAAACCACTCTTATGCGTGGTCCGTGATCTTGATTTAGAAAATAACAATTGAAAAATGCCTGAACATTTCTCTTAATATGGCTGGTTGCAAGTCAGTGTATCATGACGGTGTTAAATATGATACTTGATGAATATATTTTCTCTCTCTCTCTC